GCTTACTACATCATATTAACCCTACAATGGAAAAGTCAATGTACCCTTTTGGGAAGGTCTCAGTCGATGCCAAAGAAGGTCCCCCAAAAAGATTTTTTAATGAAACATATCAAACTGCTCCACGCTTGACGCTCTTGTTTTATCGTGACTTAAGGCTTGTACGATTTTATCATTTTATCACATTCACAAGACTAGAAGGGGGCATTACTCTGCTTTGAACTCTCTGTACATATCAACCTACGCATGTGGGATTAAGTGTTGCCCTGAAAGCCGCAGAGCGAGGGATCGGTGCTTGAATGGTGAGTGCCAGAAGAATACGGACTGGGAGGTCGGTTAAGAGTCAACCACAGACTACTTGCTGTCATATGGAAGACCTTTCTGCTAGAGCAGATTGACCTTTGCTTGTAGAGTTTACATCTGGAGGTGTATGAGGAGGTGGCACGAAGAGGCGCGGCTGTGATAGTCGTAAGGATTTGGGCTAAATCGCATACAGAAGTGTAGAACAGATATTGCAGCTGTAGAGGAAAGCATTTGTAGCGCCCATCACCTTTTGTGATGTGACTACTAGGCATTTAGTGATTGCCGGGGCTGTAGTCAGCCTGGCTGGATTTGTAGTGGCAACTATATGGTTAATCCCAGGTGTCTGGCCTTGCCTGTACCCCCCCTGGGCGGAGTGTGACTCTGTCATATTGTGGGACAGCCAATGGTGGATACTGTAATATGTGTACAGTACAGCAGCCAATCACTGGACTTCTTTCAGGCAGTGGTGCATGCTGGGACAGAGTACGTATATTGGTGGGAGCTGCCATGTGCTCTCTCTCTCTCTCGCCGGGTTAGGGTCTGACGCGGCCTGGGGGTGGGCATGGGCTGAAGTGAGGGAAAAGGTTTCCCTGAGGCCTCCAACATGGAGGTGTTCTGAGAGATGGAAAGAGGAAATGAACCAAGACCAGTGCAGGCAGTGGTGTATTTATGTATTTGGCTGCCCTAGGCAAGCCAAGCTTCGGCCGCCCTCGGCACCTTACTAGCACCCCCCCCTCCTCCTCTAGTCGCAGGCAGAGATTACAAGCCCGCCCAGCCCAGCG